GCTAACCAGCCCAGTGCCACTCATCCTGTACCGTAATGGGGAAGTTAGAGACGTGTCTTGAGCAACTTGCTCTCCTGCATTTTCTTTTCTAGAACTTTGGTGCAGCTCTTTCATCTCCTAACTTTTTAAAGGGAGTCTTCATTAAGGTGGCCTTAGGCTTGCAGTGGTCCAGCCCTTACTCACGGAGATGATGAGGTTGGAAGTTTTATAAAGTAGTTGCGCATGCTACCTTCACGATGAGAATAGAGTATGTACACTAAGTCACTTCATATTTCGGTGTTGAAAGTTCATTCACATATTCTCTTTAATATGGAATTTTGTTTCGGCTGTTGAGAAAAGACCCACTAGAGCACACGACTCCACAGCATCTCCACGTACAGCTTAGTGACCTTCAAGTTGTGCAGCCAGGGTGAGCGTCCTTTTCCGCCCTTCCTCCCTGTTTCTGCACCTTGTGTCCTTCCTCCACAGATGCGTGACGGAGGTCCCTAGCAATGAAATCAGATGCATGAGACGTTTGCTCTCTCTTAATTCTGAATGTTCATAGTAGATCTAATTAAAGGGGGAGTGGATTGTGGGAAAAGGCTCAAAGGTTAGCTCCTTTTTCAAAGGGGACCGCGCCTTCTGGGAACCTTGAGCGCGGATTTCAGAAAGGCTGAGCTGTGAGTCTGTGATGCGGTGACGCAGTCTACCGAAACCCTGAGCTGCCTGAGCTCCGGCCCCACAGCCTAGAATGGTCAGACGGTGCCAGAATCTGAGCCTTTGCCTTGCTTGACACCGCTTACTACTTGTTGAATAGTAAGGAGCTATACAATAGTAACCAAGTGAGGAGTTTTAAAATGCGTGTTGTTGTTGTTTTCTTGCATAAGCTCTGACCACTTTTGTGGTTATTGTCTAATGGTTTGACTCATGCTTTGGAAACATTTCCAGGGCTCAGGCGGACCTGAGACAAGGTGTCTGTCGGTCTTCTTGTGAGCAGAGTGCCCTCGAGGCAGAGCACCCGCCCGCTCCGCCGATTGCAGCTGCGCTCCCTCCGCGCCCCGCAAACTCCTTCCAGCTGGAATCGGACCTCAGACAGCTGAAAAGCTCTCCAGACATGCTGTACCGGTATGTGAAGGTAAGCAGGAGCGCCGAGCAGTGCATTGTGAGTAAGAGGTCGAGAGCCTCTTTGTGGATGCTGTACGTGTGTAGCACTTGCGGTAGAAAGCGGTGGCAGTGTGCTCTGTACAGACCTCCAGCCTTAGAAACTGGGCGGCAACCTTGCTCCCCTGCAGGGCCGCAGCGAGTCATGCTCCACTGCGCCACAGCCAGCTGGTTTTGTGTAGTCGGAGTGCTATGTTTGCTGCTGTAGACTATGATTGTAGAAAAAGCATTTACGCCGCGGCCAATACATTTTTAAGATTTGCAACCAGGACACCTGGATGGTCTCCTCTAAAAATAAGTTCCATGTCAAATTATATTGTCTGAAATAATTTGATTTCTTATATCCTAATTTAAGCTTAATCTTTCATCCTTTAACTTGGGAAAGGAATTGGAAGTACGCCTAGTATATGGTTTGTGCTAAGCAGTGTTTACCGTTAGATATCCGTTCTCCTGAAACTGCGCTTCCTTTGCTCTAAACAAGAATCAAGCATATGAAACACAGCAGATACTGGATTAGCATGTTTTTTCAAATGTAACAATAGTCAACAGCCCTCTATAATCATAACACATACAGTTACTTCCAAAAACATTATCCAATATTTCTTTCTTTT